CCCCCCCCCCCCCCCGGAGGGGAATGGCCCACCTCCTGGCCTTCAGTGGCTGCAGCCCCACCCAGGAGAGTGAGGCCCGGAAGCATGCCTGAGGCTTCTCAAGCAGCCTGGCTTGGAGCAGCCCTAACAGGGAGCTCCCGGAAGCTCGCTCCAGCCCCTCTGCTTTATGCTGCAGATAATTTCTGATGTTGAGATAAAAACTGGAAGAAAGGAAGCGTGAGGAAAACAGAAACAACAATACACGTTCTGTTTAGTCTTCATCATGTGTCCAAGTAGGAATTTGTAAAACTTTTGCTAAAACGTCCCTGTGTGATCTTTTCAGAAGTCTCAAAAGTAAAAGGAGGTTATCTTGCCGTGTTGTGAAAATAAGAAGTGGCTGCAGAGGTTTAGTCTTCTCCAGGCGGTTTCCAGCCTGGTGGCCTGTCCCCTGACATACGACCCGGGGAAGAGCCCTTCCTGCCCTCCTGGCTCAGTCAGAGGAGGGTGCTCCGCTCTCAGGCACCGTGAGGTGGAAGTCAGCCAAAGCAGGTGCTCCCAGACCGCTCTTACCTCAACATGCAGCCACTCCGGAGCTGACAGCCTAGTAAGGAGAAAAAGCAGATGTGTTGAGAAAAGTCTCATTAAGATGTAGTTCATTAAAATGTGATGTATTGAGGGGCATGGGGTGTCCCAGTCGGGGGCTCAGCCAGGCAGGATTTCTGGGGACAGCACAGCTGAAATCCCCACCAGGAGTTCAGCACCGGGGGCTCCAGTCCCGTGTAGCCATTCGTGCCAGTGCTCAGAGCCCTGCACGCTCCCCTCCCAGCCTTATATCTTCTCTCTGGTTTCCTCCCATGACAGTTTGATTTTGGGGACACCATGGTCCACCAGGCCATCCACACCATTGAGTACTGCCTGGGCTGCATCTCCAACACCGCCTCCTACCTGCGGCTCTGGGCCCTCAGCCTCGCTCATGCACGTGAGTGTATTTCTCTCAGGTCAAAAACTATGTTTCTCCCCTTCTCCAGGCACTCCCTCAGGTCGGGGCTTAAAGAGGGTGGAAATTATGTAAAGCCTCTGGAATTATTGACTCCTGAATCCAGAGAATGATGTACAGATGGGAGGATCAGTGCTTTTGCCAGGTTAGCTGGTAAGGTCGCAGAAAGCCAGGGGGCAAGGAAGACTGTGATTGAGGGATGGCAGAGCAAAACGCAAGGCCTGCAGCACCCCTGGCCCAGCTGAACCGGATGTCGTCTCTCCCCGTTCTGCAGAGCTGTCTGAGGTGCTTTGGACCATGGTGATCCACATCGGCCTAAGCGTGAAGAGCTTGGCGGGAGGTTTGGCGCTGTTCTTCATCTTCGCCGCCTTCGCCACCCTGACTGTGGCCATCCTCCTGATCATGGAGGGCCTCTCAGCCTTCCTCCACGCGCTGCGGTTACACTGGTGAGGGGCAGCGTGGGGCCGAGGGTGGGGATGTGTCCTTAGCTGCACCGAGGGCAGTTTTACTCCTGTCCAGAATGCAGAGACACTAGGAAGTATCCGCTTTCACATCCTCATACCCAAGGACGTGCTTGGTAGTGAGCCTCAGGAAATGTCCACAGGAAAGCACAGCTCACTTTCACAGCTGCCAGGGAGGATTCTCTGGTGAGTGTTGTCACAGTTGCTCTCCCTGTCTTCAGCCCTCTTCAGTGCTCTTGATTATGGCTTAAAATATCTGCTGGGGTTTTTTGTTTGCTTGGGGGTTTTTTGCACTGGCATATAACTCTCTCCTGTCTTCAGAGCAGTGAAAGCAGCTCTGGAATAGATTCTACATCCAGGAAAGTGCTGGAGCACACTGTGCCCTTATTTCGTCCCCTTTATTCTGTCATCGTGCCAGTGTCTTTGGGTAGGACCCCTGGCAGCTCTGTGTGAGTGGGGGGATTCTTGACTCCGTAGCACGCTAGTTCAGTACACGGAAGCACCTTCTTCTGAAGGGCAGGTTTTGGATTTGTTAGTTTTGTTTAATGTCATTTTTGGCTCTTAATGGCTCTGCATGGAGATAGCTCAGTCCCAGGGAGTGGGAGATCTGGGGTCTGGTCTGGACTGTGACTCCATGACCTCAAAGTAAGGTTGCCAGGTTTAGCAAATAAAATTACAGAGCACTCAGTTACGTTTGGATTTCAGATAAACAGTGAATATTTTTTTACTGTATTTCCCGAATGTCCATGGGACATACTTATACTAAAAACTGGGCATCCCGTACTTTATCTGGCTACCCTACCTCAAACCCTACATCTTCGAGTCTCCATTTCCCCCTTCACATTATGATTCTCCCTCTCTTTTGTGGTCCAGTGGCTCTGGAAGCTCTAGACCCTCTCCTCAGAGAAGCACCCCCCTCAATGTGTGCACACACAGTTTTACCAGTTTAGGGGCTCACAAACTCACTGACCCTACCTTAGGACTCCCTAGACGAGATGATCTGTGGTGTTAATGACCTCAAGGTCAGAAGAGGGCCGTGAGTGTCTCTCTCCATCACTTCTCGAAACCTGAAGAAAACCAGAATCTGAACCTGAGAAACCTCTTCCCCACTCCCTTTATCTTTGATTTTTCTCCTGGCTTGGTTACAGCTGAGCCTGCTCAAAGATTCCGCCGTTTGTTGTTCTAAATTACAGAGGGGAACGTGAGGCATGTAAGGGTGAGCCGTGGCCGGGACTTACTCTTCCCTCAAAGGCTCCTTTAGAAGAGTCCGTCCTGCTGCGTCAGTACACGGTGCTTTCTCGGGCCTGGCCCTCTCCTCCCGCCTCCCGTCCCCTCCCCGCCCAGCTGTTGTTTACTGGGAGCCAGGAGGCTGGCCACGCTACCGGCTCTCAGCTTATCAGCGCACACTCGCCCCAGCACACTTCCTACCACTCGGTGTGAGGGGACGTCTGTACTGCCACCCTGGGGTGACTCACTTTTTCTTGCCCTCTTGGCTTCCTTTCCTATTCCCTTCCCCGTCTCCTAAGCCCTGGGCTTGAGGGAACAGTTACCACGCCACCTTGACTCCAGCCCAAGTGGGGAGCCTGTTGCATCCTCCCTGGGTGGGTGGGAGCAGCCAAGGAGCTGGAACAGACCTGTGAGAGCAGTGAGCCAGGCACCACGGAGCACGGAGGGCCGCCTGGGCTCAGGCCTGTTGTCCAGAATGAGCTGAGGTGGTTGGGAGGTCATGCTTTGCTGCCTGCAGGATTACTTCTTCCTCAGGCTCAACCGCGGCCTTCGAGTGAAGGTGTCTTCCCATGTCCTCATGAACGAGCCCAAGGAAGTGACAAGTGGTGAGAGAGCAGGCTTCAGAATCGGGTGACCCGAGTTTAAATTCCAGCTCTGCCGGTGCTGGCTGGGTGACCCTGAGGAAAGCACTTACCTCTCTGAACCTCACTTGCTCTCATGTGAAAAGAGAGGATAATGTCCACGTGACAAGATTGCTGTGATTAAGTAGGAAATAATGCACAGACCAAGTGACTGCCACGGTGCCCTGGCACACCGTAAACCTGTGTTCAGTTGCAGATGTGGCTGCCCTGCAGACAGGGCTGTGGCCCCTGTAAAGATCTGCTTCCAGTCAGTTAGAGAGAAGGGAGACCCCAGGGGGATGCACATGATACCACTGAATGCCTCGCAGATGCGGCTTGCAAGGAGTAGGCTGGTCAGACATATTGTACTTGCAGGGTGGTGGGTGGTTGCTGTTGTTTGGTAGTGGAAATATTGGGTAGAAGAGAAAAAACAGTGAAAACTCCTTTGTGCAACTTTCAGAATCCCATCACTGGGGGCCTGTTTGGAGCATCTCCCCCACCACCAGAAAGGAGTGAATGAAATTGGTGCTCATGCACCCCCTCCTGGCCTAGTGTGGACATGCCTCGAGGATTCCTGGGTCTTAGTCCAGCAGGACTGCAGGAATTCCGAGTTGAGGCCATCCTCTTGGGGGTGGGAACAGCTGGGCCCACTGAAGATGGCTGCAGGGACATTGCTGCAATTTTTCCTGGCGTCCAGCCTGGGCATCTTCATACCTGTCACTTTACCCCTGGTGTTCAGCTGGGGTTTCTTGATTCTGATGCAAGGGCTGCCCCATTACACAAGTTCTGGGTCTCTTTGGTGGGGACAAGAAGAAAAACCTGTGATTTGAAAGCAAGGATAAACCACAGGTCTGAGGTTCATGTAGGGTCATGAGGAGGCAGGTGACATCTGGAAACAGCAGTGAGCGGGTTCATGCACCCGCCTGCTAATTCTGTCTCCTCCCGAGTTACGTCTGTCTCTTTTCCTCCCACCAGCTGTGTGTATTGTGCTTGGTCTTCTTGGCTACCATAATGAGATGTCTTTTCTTCCTCAGAAAAGGCAAAGGCAGGGGTATGATTTGTGGTTTTCACTGTGGACACCGGACTGCTATTAGCAGAAGGACCGTTGCCCCATGGCCCGCCTTCACAGCAACCTCATCCCTTCCTAGCTAACGGATTCCACATGAACACTCACAGACTGGGGGCTAAAGGGACAGATTTGGGGACCAGTTTGTCGTAAGGAATTCAGTGGCGCCACAGCAGGATCCCGCGGGGTGGCTGCCCAGGAGAACGAGAACACCTGAAGTGTGACCTCATGGCCCCGGCACTGCTCAGAGAGGGGCAGAACCATCTTTCTAAAACTGCCTCCCCTCGGTCACATCCCCACAGCCAAGGGAAGAGGCCCAGGCTTTCCCCTTCATTCACTTGAGAAGACATGGTTTCTGTTGTGGGGCAGGAGCACTCTCTCTCTGGACTCCCAGTTAGTCCTTCTGGGCCACTCGTTTGCCTTTTCCAGGTGCGGGAGCTGGCGGGGGTGACAGAGAACCCCCTCTGACTGCCTGAGGCTCTCCTCACATCTGCTGAATCCTGAGATGCTTAGTGGCCTGGGGCGTGGCAAGGTCCATGGAGGTGCCCCGAGCAGAGCCCCTCAAGAAGGAAGAACTTGCAGGGCAGCCAGCGGGGCCCCGCTGCGCCCCGGCCCAGAGATGACATGTTTATACTTTCTCAGGAAGCACACAGTTCCCTGGCTGGGAGGGAGGAGAGGGCGGGGAGACCAGCGGGGAAACTGCTTCCCAGCTTTGTGCTGAGAGGTTAGAGTGAGCACGCTGAGAAGGGAGGCGAAGTCAGGCTGACGCTGAGATACTCAAGATGTCCCTGGTGGGGGCCACCCTAAGTCCCTAACCTCGAGCAGCAGCTGGTGGGCAAGGTGGCGTCAGGTGGTGTGTCAGAGGGACCGCCCATCTGCTCACACAGCAGAACTTACGTGCCCCCATCCCAGGCGTGTGTCCCCTGATGTAGATGAGGCAGGCAGGGTGATGCCAAGAGAAGGGTGGTGATCCCTCAGGCGTCTGAGAACGTCTGCAGCTTCTCCATTCACCCAGGCTGGAGTTAGAATTGTTTGTGTGATGAGCCAGCCAGAGGTCAGGGTTCCAGATACCTCACAGACCCCAAGGTGAGTTGCCCACCGTCTGGCTGTACACTGTTGAGCGAAGTGAAATACCACTGCCGTGTGCAGACACAGCGTACCCAGCGTGGAGGATTCAGTCGTCACAGCAGTGGGCAGGAAGCAGGAGCCTGCCCCCAGCCCCGCCGCGTTCCCCCGGAGGAGGCCTCGGGAGCTGGGCCCTCTGCTCCAGGTGCTGGGACTCAGGGCTGAGTCCTGTGACTGACTCTGCAGTTTGAAACACCCTCTCCTGGATCCCATTTACTCTGAGGGAGGCTTGGCCGAGACACTGATGGGAATCCTCCAGGGGCCGGGAGGCTTTGGGGGCCTTGGTGTGGCCCCCAGAACGCGGGGTCGGGGAGCAGGCTGCCTGTTCCTAGGCCCGCACAGAAAATGCTGTTCCCCTCTTCTCCCCAGCGGGTGGAGCTGCCGCTCTGCAGTCAGCGTCTTCAGCCAGCGCCCCAGGGCTGAAGGGGCCTCTGAGGACATCTCGGGGCCACCAGCAGACAGTCCTCTTCCCACTCCCTTTTCACTGATTCCTCCCTTATCTTGGAGGGAGGCTGCCCTGGCTGAAGGCTGAGTGAGGGGCATGAAGGTGGAGAGCGTCTCGGCGCCCTGCTGTGCAGTCACAGTCAAACCGCTGCCTGCAGCCTGCCCCAGGGATCTGGGGCCCCCAGAGTCACACAGCACTGAGTGGAAACTATTCCTCAGGGCAGCTCTCCTTGGCTTTCTTATCCTCTGAATCATGCATTTTTCTGCCCATATTTGGTGGTGATTTGGTTGCTGGGCAGACATCCAGGGCGAACTCGCAGCCTGGCTCTGCATATAGGCGTGTGCTCCTTCCTGCCCCCTCAGTTTGAAGGGCCCAAGGAGACCATCAGGGATGGATGCTGGGCTGCCTGGGAAGGGAGCTAAAGCTGTTTTTCCTTTCAGTCCCCAAGAGAAGAATTCTTTCTTAGATGTTTTTGTAGTTGGAGAATATTTTTGCCGTTGCTTTGAGAAGACTTCCCCTCCTAGCTTCCCCCTTTCCTGGGAATTTCCTCCCCTAAGTCGAAAGCCTCCACCATTCACTAGCAAACCCTCCCTTCTCCTTCCTCCCCCAAGAAGAGAAATAAACAAGAAAACAGTGGTGCCTGCCAGGGTTCCTTGCCCTGAGCTGGTGGCTACTCACAAGCTTCCCTTGGAGGTCCGCTGTGGGCCCTGCCAGGAAGCGGGTGTTGGGGGGACTCTTTTTCATTGTTAGAGACTCAGGCCAACTGAACGTTTTTTGCACATGGCCCTCTGCAGAGAGTTTTGCATAAACACACTCTCCGCTGAGCAGGACGGAGCAGGAACTGAAGCCAAACCAGCGCACTGGTGTGCGCTCTTGCCGAGGGCAGGCCCTGGGCATCACGAGTGGGAGGTTGTGTTAGGATTAGGGTCGTGTGTGCCGTGAGCAGGCCAAGGTCTGGGCTTTGTGGGCGGCAGGAGGCTCGGGGAGCTTGGGGTTGGGCCATCTTTCTGGCCCAACTGTGGAGTCCCAAAAGGTTTCTGTGGATTGATGACTCTCCTCTCCTCTTTCTCCAGGGTGGAATTCCAGAATAAATTCTACAGCGGGACGGGTTTCAAGTTCCTACCCTTCTCCTTCGAGCACATCCGAGAAGGGAAGTTTGACGAATAAGCCCCTTGGGGGCTGTGCGCCCTCTGCCCTCCCCGCTCCCTCCACGGTGATTAGCTGTGCTCCGCTTGCCGTTGGTTGTGATCCCTGGGTGTCAGGGCATCTGAGTCATCCCTGCCACCCTTCCCCCAGCCACCTGTGAGTCATTTAGATAGACCCAGCCCTTCCTGGGTGCCCCGCCACCTCCAGCTTTGTGTGTTGTAGTGCAGTGATTTTCTGGAGAGAAGCGGGCCCGAGCGGTCACTCAAACCCACTCCCACTGGGCACCCTCCTTGCCCTCCCAGCCTCTGTCCAGCGCTTCCTCTGCCCCCTGGTGGTGAAGCGTTTGTGCATTTACACAGGAGCCCAGCGCGCTTGGAGGGAGTGCCTTCGCTGTCCGCACCCAGGCTTTGAGCCCCTGCTCCTGCCACTCTCCTTCCTGGTTGGGGATGGGGTGCTCTTGAACACTCCCCACTCTTGGATTAGCAGGGGTGGGTCCAGGAAGGTGGTGTTTCCCTCCTCTGCCCACCCCCTCTGGTCTTCAGTGCACTCGTTAATCAGGAATTCAGCTGGACCCAACTGTGCCAGCGTGCGTGGCTTCTCCCTGGCAGCCCCAAGGGCCCCTGGATACCCTGCACCACCTTCCTGACCCCCACCCTAAACTCATACCCTTTCCTCCTCCTTCCCAGAATGCCCTTTTAGCACCCAGCATAACATACACAGCAGGGTGGACCCAAAGCAGAGGTCCTGGCTGGCTCCTCTGGTGGCTGCTTCTCAGGCCATGCGTGGGCCACAAGCACGCCCTCGGGGCAGAGGGTCCAAGTCCATGCTCTTTCCTGGTGCAGGCCCGGAGACCTTGCCCCACCCCCAGTCACGAGTCTTGAGTGCAGAACTGTAGTCATCAGGGGTGGTTCTGCCTGCAGACCTGCCTTGCTCTGCCCACCGGTGCCCCTCCCCACTTCCACACCGACCCCAAGTGGAGCAAGTGGGTCCTGGGCAGGGAAAGTCAACGTCATTTACCATTTGCCGATTGGAGGCAGCTGGCAGGGCCGCCAGTGAGTGCGGCTGTGAGAGCTGCGTGGCCCTGCCCTGTCAGGGCTGGTGGGGAGCGCCCCCAAAGGGCCACCGCCCCTGTCGCCCCCACGCCAGGACGTGGATCTTGGGGCCTTTTAATCATGCGTTGGCACAGCAGCCCTGGCTGCTTCAGCTAAATCGATCCCCGTGCCTTCAGTGGGCGAGAGGACCCCCTCAATTGGTCGGCCCCTTCCCACCCCACCCCTACCCCCTGCTTGTCTGGGAGCTGCTTAGCGCTGCTCACTGGACTCTCCCAGTCTGGGCCGCCCGCCCCAGCTTCACCGCGCCGTAGCCAGTGTGACCCGACCCAGCCCTTGTGCAGAGCCCCCTTTGTCCAGTCCCTGTGGTTTACATGATGATCTTTCCTCTGTTTACGGCAGGGGTTTGAAGCAGAGTTCTTTATCAGGAACCCTGCCCAAGGCCCTTCTGTTCAGACATTCCCATGCGGAATAAAGTGTGTTTGACCCTGTCAGGGAGGCTGCTTGTCTGTGTGCCTACAGCCCCTAGCCCCTGCGTCAGTCAAGGCTCAGCCCTCCTGAGCCCACTTCCCTCTGCCACCATTTCTGCTTTTTCCTCTGATCAAAGACCGCAGTTGCAGTGGCCCTGGCCAGGCAGTTAGTTTGTGAAATTCTCACCTTATCTCAGGTTTCCCAAGGGCTTTCCTACTCCCTGAGCCCCACTCCCTGAGCCAAGGCAGCTTTTCAGATGCTACCCATGTGGGGGAGGGGACTTGGGGACCCATCTCTGTCCCGCTTTCTGCACCACACACCCAAACAGCCAGGGGAAGCAGGGACCTGGACGTCTGCCCACCCTCCTCTCCGTCTTCTGTGAGCGTGCTCTCCAAGGCTCAGCAGCCTGGCTATTTTGAGCCCTGATTGCCTTTGGCCTTGGTGTAGGTGGAGACTCAGCATAGGGTTGGTTCCTGAGGGCAGCTGGAAAATTCGAGGTGCTGAGGCAGGCAGCCCAAGAGCTCAACGGGATGTCCTGGCAGGCGGGGTGGGCAGGGCGGGCACCTTCCCCCTCCTCACTGCCATGTAAGGTGACCACATTCTTTCTCAGCCTTCCCTCTCCATTCCTCCCTCTTGGGGCCTTCAGGGCAGGGGCTGCCCAGGAATGTGAACAGCAGGCTACCAACTGCTGCTCCAGGAGGGGCAGGAACACCCTGTTCATTCCATGTTCCTCAAACCCTCTCCTCCCTGACAGGCCACCTTCCCTGGAGCAGCCCTGGGTACAACACCCAGCACCCACTCCTCAAAAAGTTGAGGGTGGACATTCAGGTAAACGAGTCCTTTTAACCTCTTCTCTGTTACTGACTCAGATAACTAGGAATCAATGGACTAGAATTGAGAGTTCAGAAACAAACCCTAACATGTATAGTCGACTGATTTCCCACACAGGGGCCAAGATAATTCACTGGGGAAAAAACAGTCTTTTCAACAGATGGTGTTAGTACAACCGGGTACCCACATGGAAACAAACAAATTTGGACTGCTATCCACTATATACAAAAATTAACTCAAAATGGATCATAGACCTAAACATAAGAGAAGTCTTAGAGGAAATCATAGGAGTACATCTTCCTGACCCTGGGTTAGGCAGTGGTTTTTAGATATGACGTCAGAAGCATGAGTGATAAAAAAAGAAGATAAAAGATAAGTTGGGTTTTAGCAAAATTAAAAACTTTCATGCTTCGAAGGACAGGATCAAGACGCCCCTCACACTGGAAGAAAATATTTGCAAAGCATGTATCTAATAAGGAACTTGTATCTGGAATATATACAGAACTTTTACAACTCAGTAATAAAGACAAATACCTCAATTTTTAAAAGGACAAAGGATTTGAACAGGCATTTATCCAAAGAAAACACGAATAGCCAGTAAGTCCATGAAAAGGTACTCAGCATCATTAGTCATTAGGAAAATGCAAATCAAAACCACGAGGAGACACCACATCACACCCACTAAAAAGGCAATAACTTTAAAAAGACAATTACAAGTGTAGGGACTTCCCTGGTGGCGCAGTGGTTAAGAATCCGCCTGCCAATGCAGGGGACATGGGTTTGAGCCCGGGTCTGGGAAGATCCCACATGCCACAGAGCAACTAAGCCCATGCACCACAACTACTGAGCCTGCGCTCTAGAGCCCACGAGGCACAACTACTGAGCCCGTGTGCCACAGCTACTGAAGCCCGCACACCTAGAGCCCGTGCTCCACAACAAGAGAAGCCACCACAATGAGAAGCCCATGCACCACAACCCGTGCACAGCAACGAAGACCCAACGCAGCCAAAGATAAATTACAAAAAAAAAAAAAAGATTACAAGTGTTGACAAGGATGTGGAGAAACTGTAACCCCCATCCATGTAAAATGGACCATGTAAAATGGTCCATTTTACATGGACCATGTAAAATGGTGCAGCAGCTTTGGAAAGCAGCCTGGCAGTTTCTCAAAATGTTAAACGTAGGATTAACTTAGGACCAAGCAATTTGACTTCTAGATATCTACTCAAGAAAAATGAAAAAATGTGCACACAAACTGTGCACAAGTGTTCGTAGTGGCATTATTCATAATAGCCCTAAATGGAAACAACCCAAATGTTTATCAGCTGGTGAATGGGTAAGCAAAAGGCAGTATATCCATACCATGGGTATTATTCTACAATAAAAAGGAATGACGTACTGATACATGCTGCAACAAGAATGGACCTCAGACACAAGGCCACATAATGTATAATTCCATTTATGTGAAATGCCTAGAATGGGCATATCTGTAGAGACAGAAAGCAGATGGGTGGTTGCCTAGGACCAGCTGCTGGATGGGGTTGGGGGCAGGGTTTCTTTGGGGGGATGATGAAATGTAAAATTAGATTATGGTGACAGTTGCACAACTCTGTGGCCATACTAAAAAACTTGAGTTGTACACTTTAAACTGGTAAACTTTCTGGTATAGATCATTAAAATGGGGCTGGGGAGGGAGGACTAGGACCTGCCCGGGAAGAAATTCCCCCCTAGCCTGGATAAGACCTGGGCCAATGGGTCACTGGCTAAGCTGAGCTTCCAGGATCTAGGGCCTTGGGCTGCTTCCAGCCCAGCCAGCTAAAGATGGGACCAACTGGGAAATGAGCCCTGGAGGGTGTGGGAATTCCCAGGAGCCCTGGGGTGGGGGTGGGGAACAGGATGGCTCCATTGCTCCTATTTTTAAGAGTCTTGGCCTTTACCCTGATCCCCTTCTGTGGAATCCCTGGACCCCAGGCATCTGCTTAGTGAGTCTGTGCCCCCAACCAGCGAATGCTTCCCATCCTAGAGCCAATGTGGAGAGGGTGACTTTGGGCCTGCTCAGTATAATAGATAGGGACAATTCCATCACCACCTTCTTAACCGCCCCCCCCTCCTTTCCTGTCCCTCACTGGGGACCTGGGCAGGACTGTGTCTCTTTCTACCCAGGAGCCCTGGGTGGAAAGGGCATTGGAGCTCCCCTCAGATCTGAGCCTGTTTGCCCGCCCTTCCCTCTCCAGCCTACCCAAGGCAAGGCGTAGGCTGCTCCCTGGTGGCCAGACAGGGAAGGACTCATTCCTCCCCACAGGTAAGATGGGTGGGATCCTAGCAGGGCTGGGACAGGCAGGCAACTGGATTGGCAGGGCAGAGGGACAAGGGATCTGGAGGGATTCTGGGGTGCATAGACAGAGGGGAGGCTGTCAGGAATGAAAGAGATGAGATAGGAGCGGAGAGAAAAAGTAATAAAATGTATCACGTGGTAAAAGGATCAAACAGTACAAAAGGCCCGAATATAAGTCTTCGGCTCCAGCGTCCCAGTACCTTATCCAAAGCGAGCACTATTTACATAGCCTTAAACACACACACACACACACACACACATGGGATGTACTTTACCCAGTGATTTGACATCTCTCTCTCTTTTTTTTTTTTTTAAAGAAGATATTGGGGGTAGGAGTTTATTAATTAATTTATTTATTTTTGCTGTGTTGGGTCTTCGTTTCTGTGCGAGGGCTTTCTCTAGTTGTGGCAAGCGGGGTCCACTCTTCATCGCGGTGCGCGGGCCCCTCACTATCGCGGCCTCTCTTGTTGCGGAGCACAGGCTCCAGACGCGCAGGCTCAGTAGTTGTGGCTCACGGGCCTAGTTGCTCCGCGGCATGTGGGATCCTCCCAGACCATGTCCCCTGCGTTAGCAGGCAGATTATCAACCACTGCGCCACCAGGGAAGCCCCTGACATCTCTTTTTTAATAAACTCAATATTTAGCTGGTTTTAAAAAATTTTTATTTATTTTTTTTATTTATTTTTTATTTATTTAGGCTGCATTGGGTCTTAGTTGAGGCACGGGGTATCTTCTCGTTGCGGCATGTTTAGTTGCGGCATGCAGGCTCTTAGTTGCTGCATGAGAACTATTAGTTGCAGCATGCGTGCAGGGTCTAGCTCCCTGA